CACTCAATATGAACCACTCCATAATCTTTCCCAGCACCGAGTTCAGGCTGACAGGCCTGTAGTTCCCCGGATATGATTGGTGTGGTCCATTAAAAAGCATTCTCTCTTATTCTGAAGGACTAGATAAGACAGACTTCAAATGAGCCAGACTAACCCTCTAGATCATATTGGGTAGGCTGTGGCAAGCCAGTTCTTCTCCTTCCTCAGTGTAGCGTAGTCTCCGAGAACTAGGTTTCCCACCTCAAGTCAGTAATTTTCAGAGTCCTAATTACAGTAGTGGAAAAAGTGGTGCCATTGCTCTGCAGAGCCAGTGTAGACCTGTTAAATACACTTGTGTAAACTGATGTGCAAAGATGAGCGTTAGCTTTAGATGGTTAACATGCTGTGTTTAAGTTTGGTCTAGAAGAAGAAATTACTGGCTTGAAAAACAGTCCCTCCTGTAGAGAATGACTGGTTTGGTTGTATGAGGGACATATTTAACAGGAGTCTTGGTCTTCAACTTTTGCTGAAAGTTCTGATTTTTTCTTCAACAGGTCTTTAGTTGTGTCCTAATCTTAGAATGAAGAGCTGTGCCTAACCTTTTTGTTAGACATTGCGGGTCATGGCTTGGTACACACCCTAGAACACAGTAAAATTTGCAAACCATAAGCCAAAAATACCTCAAGCTACGATTATGAGGCATTGAAAAGACATAGGCAATCCCTCTCGCCATCCATACCACTTAACATCTGATTTGACTGAAGGGGAAGGTGGCATGACTGTTCTTCTAAATTAGGTGTTTGAAGTTGAATGAGTTGAGTCCAGAAAATAGAGTGATGAGCTGGAGGAGTGTAGTGCCCAGTCACTGTCCACATCCACCAACTGTAAAACTGTTCCATTTAGTACAGGACACAATTTTTACTACAATATCCATGGGACAGTGAGCTTTATCTTTGTGCGCACCATGTCTATGTATCATGTTGTATTACTAGGTTATTCTACTGCTCTGAACCTCCTGAGTGATCCATAGTACATGTAGGTCCATCAAGATCTAACCTCTGCCTGTCAAGATTTCAGTGCATTTGCTGACCCATCTGGTCTATGCACAATTGATTCCTGCTATTGTATACTTAGTGTCATTTTTACAGCAACGTGAACTATTCTTTCACAAGCCTACCAAAGGATAAAACATGGAGAGCAACAATTGCTGAAGAAAGTCACACATTCAATTCACATTCCATTTTTTAAGTTGACTTATAATATGATGTGTATTAATTTAGTCTGTATGTAGACAGTATTAGTGGTGGAAGAAGACCCAAAATGTTTTTCTTCTGTTATACCTAGTTTACTCATGAGAATATCTCCTGCTGTATCCATTTTATTATTCTTCATTGAAAGCTGAAAAGATACCCAACCAACACCTACAGTTTTTATTTCCTGTTACTAAATGAAACCTCTTTTTTTCAGCATTTTAAAGAAATAAAGGTGATCTTCAGTCCCCTCGTTCTTCTCACACATTAAATATTTATGTTAACAAAAAGAAAAAATGGTTACCAATGCTTAATAAGGAGCTAGATCTTACCTTTTCAAAACATTTGAAGCACAGCTCTCTGGGAATTCTGTAGGGACAGGAAAGAAAAAAGATGATATAATTTGTATGTGGCAGTGTGTGAAATGGCATTAATGTTTAAGCATGACTAATAAACTAGACATAATTAGTGTAAATGTGTTGAGGCCATTGATGTCCTGTAAACCTCTATCAGGTGAAACATTTTTTTTTTTACATTTTTCTGATAGAGTTCTTGGTAGTGAAACAGAACCCACGTGGCATAAAAAGCTCTTTTATTTGTAAATATGTATGCACATCTGTTCTATGAATAGACTCTTAGCTGTATAACTACATAAAAGCTTTTCTACCAAGTGTTGTGTATCACTCTTTTGGAATATCAGTGTTGTGTTGCGGGAAATCTAGCATGCTTTAAAAATCTAGCAGAATCAAGGGAAGCAAAGTGAAAAATGACACTTGCTTGCTAGTTAAAACTGAAAGCTAGAAAATCTCATCATCCTTCAATACTGAAAGGATGACACTGGTTCGAATAGAATTTGAAAGACAGCTGAATAACAAGTATGCAGGTTCTTCAAAAACAATGTACAGTGAACTGCAGGAAGTAATTCTCCTCAAAAGAGTCCGTTAATATTGACTAGTTGGGGTGGGTTGACCTTGGCCAGCTTCCAGGCACCCACCCAGCCACTGTCTCACCCTCCTCAACAGAACAGGGGGAGAAAATGAGATGAAAAAGCTCCTGAGTGGACATAAAGGCAGGAAGATCACACACCAATTACCAGTACAGGCAGAATGGATTTGAATTGGGGAAAATTAATTGAATTTACTGCCAGTTAAATAAAGTTGGATGGTGAAACACAGAGACAAAATTAAAGCAACACCTCCCCCCTCCTTTTTCTGAGGCTCAACTTCATTCTTTCATTGCCGACTCCTCTACCTCCTCCACCCCAAGCAGTGCAGGGGAATGGAGAATGGGGGTTGTAGTCAGTCCATAACAGCTCCAGCGTGAGTCCTTCCCACAGGCTGCAGTTGTTCAGGATAAACGAGCTCCAGCATGGGATCTTCCACAGACTGCAATGTGTGTATCTGCTCCACCATGCTCTCTTCTGGGGCTGCAGGGGCATCTCTGCTCCAGTGCCTGGACCACCTCCTCCCCTTCCGTCTTCTCTCATCTTGGTGCTTGCAGGGCTGTTCCTCTCATATTTTTCTCATCCCTCTCTCACAGTTGCTGTGCAGTGGTTTTTGCCCTTTCTTACACACACTTTCCAAGAGGTGCCACCACCTTGGCTGCGGGGCTCAGCCGTGCCCTAACCGTCTGGAGCCTGCTGTGTCTGGCACAGGGCAGCCCTGGCCTGTCCTCACAGAGGCCGCCCCTGCAGCCCTCCTGCTGCCAGCGTCTTGCCATCTAAACCCAATACACTAGTTCAGACAAGAAGGAGAGAAAAATTAAATTCACATTCAGTTTACTCTTGCAGATTATAATTTTGCTGCTGCATGTGCAGGAAAGTGTATGCGTGCTTGTTCAGAATCTGATTTTTTCAATGATCTTAAGCTACTCAAAAGGTCTATTGAATTTCAGTTTGTGATGGACTATGCAGAAGGTGGAGTGGTTTGTTGGATTATGCCTTTGTACCCATTTCTATGAAGTGTTAGACTATGGTGAGATACATCATTGACTGAGCAATAGTGAATGAGCAAAAGGAACAGGAGGAGGGAAGGAGAGTAAGCAAGCTGCGCAATGATTAAGCATAGTGCCATAAAATGGGCACAAAGACAGTTGGTTAATCTAGATAGAGAGGGAAGAAGCATTTGGTTGCTTATTTTATTATAAATTGCTCAATTTATCTTTTTTCCATCTCTTTAGGTTTTTTTATATTCTATGTAGGTGTTCCTGAATATTCCACTTATTTTGCAATAATTTATAAATTGAACTTAACATTTGATGAGTCCACACAGTAAGCAGGAAGTTACGGATGGAATATCCAGATTGAATTTTAGGAAATGGCAATGTATTTTGGAGTGGGAAAAAAACAAATTTCTTGGCTAACATTTTACTTTTAAATTGACAAATGTTTTGTCAATGAGCATTTGGGTTGTACAGAGAAAGTACATACATATTACTCATTTAAGTTAGCGTTCCTCATGTTGTCTTGATTTACTAATGCCACTTAATCTCTTACTTGCCTTTCTAGATCGGTTTGCAGTATTAGCAAACAATAATCTCCAAATTCTTCACATCAATAAAAGTGATGAAGGAGTATACAGATGTGAAGGAAGAGTGGAAGCCAGAGGAGAAATTGACTTTCGGGACATAATTGTTATTGTGAATGGTGAGGAGTAAAAGTTTTTGAATTGACTTGTTGCTTTACTTGATTATCATAGCCTATTTTAAAATATATCACCTTCTAAAAAATCCTGATTAAACTGGTTAATATAGTTGTCATGTCTGTTTAGTATTGTTTTCATGTAAATGTAATTGCTTAATATTTTAAGAACATCTACTATACTGTGTAAATAGAATTCATTGCATTTCATAATATCACTGTATATAAATATGTAAAAGCTGGATTATTATTTTTAATAATTCATGGAACATTGACAATCACTGCAAGACTTGAGTTTCAGCTTATAAGATATAGTAGTTCAGTTCACCGTGTATTTTTCAGTGTTTTGTCATTTACTGTTAAAAACACACTTCCTTTTTTATAGTTATTCAGTTTCACTGCATTGAACATATTTTATTAATTGTCGCAAAAGTCACAGGTAGATTTTATTAAGATTAACAGTATTACTTATAGATTTTTAACATTTTATTTTTATGAGGAGTGAAATATATGATGAGTTATCTGAAAAGTGGCATTATACATTTTATCATTTTATAATAAACCTCTAAGTAAGAATATGAAGAGATTAAGACAAGGTGGAGCATTTATCTCAACCTCTTTCTTAAATTCAGGGTTGACCTCTTGAAAAATAAATATCTCTTCATATATTGTCCAGAAAGGACACAGTTCCTAAAGGGCATTTTTTATCTCTACATCCTGCTTAATGTCAGTTTTTCAATGCAACTACTTCCATTGTGCCTATTAGGTTCTGAGATTTAAATGCTTTGTCCTTGACTGGTCCTTCTCGGCAAACCCCAGTTTACAGAATTCATTATGTAAGTTGAATTCCCAGTTAATTTCAGGAGAAAGAGCAGCTTCTGGCACAGGTATTGTTTAATCCGTATAGTCAAGCAGCAATCTTTGAAGCAGAATTCTTTAGATTGTTGTAGATACTATACAGACAGTGGCAAGCAAATGGGTGTTTATCCTATATATTGTGATAGAATATAACAGTACATGTCCTACACACTGTGAAGACCCCCAACAAATTGCTTTCCTCTCTGTGCATTGTGATGCTGCATTACCTTGACTCCTGGTTATGTACAGTTCCAGCAGTGCATCTGATAGCTTTTGAAATGCTGAATGAGACTTTTTTCTGCTGCTATTTATGTACATGGATATAAACCTACATTCTGAACGCCTTTCACTTCAATCTAATATTTATATGCAGTTGAGCTGAGAGCGAGCCTGTATTTAACCGAAAATGTCAGATTGCAAACTGGTCTGACTTCACATCTTTTATTGGTGGATCCACAAATTTGGTTCTTCATATATTTATTATGACTCTAGACAAAAACGCTAACACTCACCTCTGGACTTCAGTTCGTAGTGTTGGGAGGAGAAGGGGTTACCAATTGGGTGATTCTGACATGGCTGCTCCTGTAAAGTGGTATCAATTAGGAGCTATTTTCTGCTTCATTTATAGGAATAAATAGGTTTTCCTACCTAAAGCTGAATGTATTAAACTTGGCCCGAAATGACTTTTAGAGTAATATTAGAAATCAGAAAGAAAGAAAAATTGTAGTGCTCTTTGGTGAAAAGGAAAACCTAGGAATTAATTGGATTCAGAAAAGAAAAGAAAAAAAGAAAAAAAAAAGGAGCAATCTGTAGGCCAGTAAAAGCTACATGACTGTATTTTTGCCATGATTCCTTTTCAAAAGAGTAAGCAATAATGCTTACTTTGGATGATAATCAAAGCTTGGAATAAAAAGAAAAAGTTATCATGAAAGTATTTGTATGTAGAAACTATTCAATTTTAGAACTTTATTGCTTATTTATTTATATTGCAATAGTGCCTCGAGGATCTATAGAAAGATCTAATATTTATACAAATACATAGTAAGAACCATACAAGGTCTCCAAAGCTGGATAAAGTGCAACTAAACAACAAAGAAATAGGAATATTTCAGGAGAACTGTTACACCACATAACCCAATTTTACATTTTTAAAACTTTAAATTTTTGTGTGAGTCTGTAGGGAGAGGTGAATATAGAGAATTATGAGGTTAATAATTAAATCAATAATATTAGTCCTTGCTCTCACGTAGGTATTTAGGGTTTACAGTGGAAACACATTTTTGAGAGGAGTATGGGGGCTCGTATTGTAGATTTTCCGATTTATTTGGAGAGTAGCAGAATTCTCCATGTATGATGTTTCTCTGCTGCAAACAGTATATGAGTATGTTGCTTTCTAAATGTCATCTTCTTTATTATATAGCAAGAGTTGATATTGTTTATTTCTGCAAATATGATTTGTTCCAATGCTTATACATACTTCAGTCAAAAATGTAAGCTATGCTAGAACTGTATGGAGTCTCAGATTCCCTTTTGCAAGAATAGTGATGAAGATTTAATTGAATAATAAACTATTAGCTATCCTTTTACTCATTGCCTTCTAGTTAGGGTATTATCCATGGTGTAGGTGACCCATGCATCCTCTGATTCAGGACAAAGATTTGAACTAAGATCACCTCTTCTGTGAGCAAGTACTCTATGTGGTACTGTTTCTCTACTTCTCTGTCCGACTAAAAAGGGAGGACAGAAAGAGTGGAAAAATATTGTGAGAGGCTGAGAGCACCCAAACCCTACAGCAAGCTGATGAAGACCAGTCTCTCAGAGGTAGATGATATGGGATCAAATCCTCTCAAGAAGAGGAGAAAATTAAACCTTCTCATATTTAAGAACAAGAGGGAAGTTCCCTCTTGAGCTATTTCAGTCATAACTGAGTCATCTCTGCCCATGTGGATGATACTTGCCTATAGAATGTTTTCTTGTGCTATATGGAAGCAAGAAAAATTAATCACCGCTAGAACTCTTACTATAAGATGAAGGATTAGACCTTGCAACCAACAAAACAAAATGGTGAAAAGCCACTCCCCAAATGATTTAAGAACATGCTGCAAAAATTCATTCTTTCTTTGCATGAAGTTAGGTGGCTGTACCCATGTTTAAGTACCTAAGTGGCAGAAATTTCCACAGTTGGCCAAGCAGCATGTGCAGGTGATGTTGACTAACTGGAAGTGAATTGAACTTTTTAACTGAGATGCCTGGATGGAATGTTATTATTTTCCTTATGAACAATGACTTCCTAAGAAACTAAAATTAGGTAACTTTAAGCATTTGTTATTTTATTTTTATTTTTCATTTTTAGTGGAGTAGTAAGTAGAATTACTTTCTTATAAATTTCTTACATTAAAAAGGAAATTTCTTGGTTTGTAATCAAGATATAAATTTAAAATAGTCTAGTCTTCGCGTTAAATAGTGGACACTTATAACTACACATAAGGGTAATGTAGAGAAGTCTCATTTTGAAGAGAAGGAATTAACGAAGACAGTAGTGTGTATCTTGAAAATGTTTTTTCTATTCTCTACTCCATCTGGATGCTAAGCTCGTTGACATAACATTGGCTAATTCACATCTGGGAGAGAGGTAAATAACAGGAAGAAGCGATGAAATGGCTGGCATTTCCATCAGACCATAGTAGAGTATGTTCTCTTCTATACCAGTGTCCAAACTAGCTGATCATAGCAGCAGTTATGACTCGGGTCACATGTACATAGTTTAAAAAACTAAAAGCTGTAAAAGAAACTATTTTGAAAGTGATATTCAGTGTTCTGGTTAGCGTTGCAAGACCATGCTGAATAGTTTGACGGTGAAGGCCCTGAAATGCAACACAAATCCTCTCTCTACTAACTTATGGAAAAGAAGAAAACCGAATAAATTTGCAGAAGAAATTTTAAAAGTTGTTTGCCTAGATTGTTGGCCCACAAATTTAGGGGTTCATTGCCCTGGGGAAATGGTATTTCCATATACAATCTGTAGCCCAGGCAATTTGAGATAGGAAAGAAATGATCTGTGAAACAGACAACATTAAAAAAGGGTGAAAGCAACTTACAGTAAGTAAATATATGTTAGAAAATCTTTTTAGTTTTAGCTGGCTGTTCATTATATTGGTTATTTTTTTGTATAGTGCTTTAAAGATTGCATAGAAACAGAATGCAACTTTACTCAAAAATAGTTAAAAGTAAATCTTGGAAAAAAGTTTGATATATAAAAGGTAGTTTCTAATGCATAGAAATCTTTAGGGGGTTATAATGGATAATAAATTGAAATACATCTGAGCTAGATTCTCTCTTTAAAATCTAATGTTTAGGTATCTTTTTCTACATGCAACACTGAACTTTTTATAGCATTTCTTCTCTACCCATATTTATAGTGAAGTCTAAATAGCAGTTTTTTGTAAAAAATAATAAAAGGTGAGTATAAAATAGAACAAAAGAAGAATTCAAGTCCTCCTGAAAACAAAACCTTGGTTTTTTATTCTTCCACACCCCAACCCTCCCGCCCCGCCTCTTTTGGTAAATGGGCTTATTAGATTTATTTATTTAAGTTTTCTTTGCTGTCTGGGAAGTTCCATAAATTGGATAGACTTCCTGACCTCACTGACATAAATGAAAAAGAATTTTTTTCCCTTAAATGTGACTGGATTTTTACCATTTTGCTTTAAGTTTGACATGTGAGAGACTTGCCAGTACAGCTTCATTTGGCTTTTCCTCTTTTAGGTTCACACTTTAGTTCCATCCTATGTACATACAAGAACAGAACCAAAGATAAACAGGTCTCTTCTCAGAAAGGATAATGAGAAAAGTGAAATTGACTTTTGAAAAGAAAAATAATATCTCATTTCATTGTCATTGCAGTATCTCTTGAAAGACTGAAGCACTTCAGTAATGTGCTGAACCAAGTCATAGTCCTGTAGTTCTTAGTTGTGAGCAGTGAAGAACCTGTTACTTCTGGCAAAGAATTGTTTCATCCCCTTATGTTACTGCGTATATTTTCAGGTCTAGACATTAGAATGCACTGCAAAATGGCTAGAATGTATATAACGTTTTCTAAGTGACATTTTTTCATGGAAGATGTTGCACAACAGAAGGGGTTTGTGTGCTAAGTAATGGCCCATGCAATTTCAGATAGGTAAAAAGTGATCTGTGAAACACTTAAATTTCAGCACACCATTAAAAAGTGTGAAAAGTACATAACAACATTTACTTATTGATCATTGATAATTCTGGTACATTATTTTTTAATAATTTCACATATATAAAAGGTTCAGAAGCTGGAAAGGGTTCTGAAGTAGAATACTAAACCTAAAATATTTGGTGCAAAGCGACAGAAGTTGATTCTCAACAGTTTGTGGGAAAAATCTGTGGAAGTCCAATGGGAAGCTGAAAGCAAATTCATTGGGGTTGCTTGTTTCTCCTTCTTTTCTCTAGTGAAAGGTAGAGCTAAAAAGGGTAACTCTGAGTCACTCTGATGACAGGATGTTGTTGTTAGCAGAGACCTATATTTTGTGAAGCTCTAATCTTTTCCCTTTCCTCTAGCTTTCCCTGGTATTCCTTCTTTTCCACCTACCGTCTTCCTTCCAATCTGCTAGTATTGTTTTTGTTTGTTTCTTTGCTTGACAGTTAATGGAAACAGATTTAAGACAGCTGTCTTAAAATTGCCATATGAACAGAGATATTAAATATCAGCCTGTGAGTTTTTCTGTCTTAACTATTATTGCTATTTTTTCTGTTGGGTAGAGGTTCTCTGTGAACTGTTGCAATTTTGGTAATAACTTCATCCCATCAAGAACAGACAAAATTAATCACTCTCAGAACACAACTAAAATTTTTGGAAATACAATTTTCACCTTTTGAAGCTGGTGATACTCCTGCCCAGGAAATATGCAGGAGTTCAGTAAAAAGAATTAAATATGCATAATCAAGACTACTACATACTGACATCTGTTTTAAAAGCACTGTCTGACATCAGTACATAGTTGTATGTCAGCTTTATAATTGAATGAAAGATAAAAAGAAAAGAGATACATTTTCATTTGAGATAGTTAAATTAGTGCCAATCATAACCCTATTGTGTCTTTTACATGGTAGGTATAACTTCAGTCACTTTAAAATGTTCTGTAAGGAAATGGAAGAACTGCTGAAATAGAGTTTAAAAATTTATTCTAGTGAAAAAAAAAAGGTTATAAATGTCCTGATAAAAATAAAAATCTTGTGTTTAAGAAAAGTAAAGAAATACTAATAACAGTGATTCATATTGTAACTTGATACCTAAGTGTAACTATAAATTCCAAAATTAGCAAAGGATCCTATCCTGTGCTTTAAATTTCTCCAGAAACACATAAAATCATTTATTTTTCCATTAATAGGACATAATGTTTTATTTTTCAGTTCCCCCTGCAATTACTCTGCTACAGAAATCCTTTAATGCCACTGCAGATCGAGGAGAGGCAATAACTTTGTTCTGCAGAGCCACTGGATCACCTCCTCCTGAAATCAGTTGGTATAGGTAAGTTCAATCGAGGTCTGCACATCAGAGCACATTATTTTAATGTACCATGATTTTCTATCACAGTCCATTAAGCTGTGCAACCTTAATTTCTTTACTGAATTTTAAGAGCATTTGTTGTCCATTTCTTGGCTAACTTCTAAAGCTAGATTCAGCATTAATAAGTGAACTCACACAAATTCAATTGCACTCACATTACCAGCAAGTGAGATAAAAGTAAAAAGTAACTAAAATACCATATTGACATTATTTCTTCATATTTAAGGGGAAACAAATAAAGCTGAAGCAATGAGTCCGTATCTCAAAAACAATACAAGCAAAAATCTCAGAACAACTTTTCCACATGAATGCATCAGGTAAAAACATATGCAGTTATGCAATAAATAAATATCCAATATAGATCAGCAATGCTGATAACAAAGATAACATTTGCCCCATCTGTGAAAATAGATGCTAACCATAACTCTCCATTTCAATGAGATTCAGAAGGAGGTATGGCTTTAGACACCCCTAGGATATCAAAATGTTTCATTGCCTAAGTTTCAAGTGTATTTTATGTAATTTTAAAAATGTAATATGCTTTGAAAATGGCACAGGCCTTATGAGGAGCGGCTGAAGGAACTGGGGTTGTTTAGCCTGGAGAAGAGGAGGCTGAGGGGAGACCTTATCGCTCTCTACAACTACCTGAAAGGAGGTTGTAGTGAGGTGGGTGTTGGTCTCTTCTCCCAAGTAGTTAGCGATAGGACGAGAGGAAATGGGCTCAAGCTGCGCCAGGGGAGGTTTAGGTTGGAAATTAGGAAAAAATTCTTCATGGAAAGGGTGGTCAAGCATTGGAACAGGCTGCCCAGAGAGGTGGTGGAGTCACCATCCCTGGAGGTGCTCAAAAAACCTGTAGACGTGGCACTTTGGGACATGGTTTAGTCTAGTCTACCCTTGATTGGTTTAGTGTGGACTTGGTAATGTTAGGTTAATGGTTGGACTGGATGATCTTAAAGGTCTTTTCCAACCTAAACGATTCTATGATTCTATACTTTTAAATTTCATGTGTGTTTTTTGATGATATCAATGACGTGAACATAATATAGCCATGTCGTTTGGGAACACTTACCATATTACATTTATAAACATTTAAATATCCATACACTGTATATTCTTTCAATTTTAACAAAGATATGCATCAGTCCTGGGATATAAGTATCTCAGACTCCTCATACCAGTGCACACTTCTATTTTAGACCTGAATAATTTGCATCTACATAGAGTATGTCAGGTGAATTCAAAGGTCGCTGCATTTTCAAAATGGACATAGAAGGGATTTCCATCAATTCTTAATCTCCTTTGGAATCTTTGAACAATGTTAGATTAATTTTAAATGTTGGCTTCCTTTGACTGGCACCTTTATCTTAACATGCTGTAAGTCAAATGTGGATTTAAATTTTTCTCTTGTGCAATTTGAATCTCGGGAGATAAATAGAATGCAAAGTTAATTCCTTAATGTGGCTTAGAATTCAAAATTTAGTGAAGAGGAGGGAAAATAAAAACAAAATATGCACAGCCCAAATTAAAGAACTGATGCTGAATTCAAACTGAGATTGAATATTCTGATTACTTAATGTCTTTGAAGTAATTTTTTACAATATATGTCTTATCTGGCCAAAATTCTTAAGAATTGTCTGAAATCTGGTATCCTAAATGGCCTTTTTGTAAGACAACCAACATTAATGTTGTATATTGTTAAAAAATAATGCGTAAATTTCCAGTTTGTGGATATCTCTGTTTACAGATGTGGAGTTTATTTAATATTTTATATATATTAAAGTATGTACACAGGCTAAGTGTCTTGGTGAGACACTTATCTCTGCCTACTGATCAGAGCCTACTGAAAGATATTCCTTTGGTTTGCCAGCCCCTGAGGCAACTGACTTTTTTAAACCATTCATTGAATATCTTTTTAAAGATTCTTACAAAAGCTTCACAGGCTTGTGTACTGGATACTGGATCTTAAATGACGAAGCTTCTGTTCTGTTCCTATTTCAGGAACTACCTCATACTGAGGAATATTGGCTTATATGCCTCCCTTCCCTGTGGGTTTGGTTTGGGTTTTTTTTTTTTCCCTCTCATTGTCTTTTTATTTTGTCTTATTAGGCTATAAATTCTTGGCGGTAGAAAATATTCTTGCTTTTTTTATTTGCTGATGTCCGGGTTTCATCTGGGATAGAGTTATTTTTTTTCCTAGTAGCTGGCATAGTGCTGTGTTTTGGATTTAGGATGAGAAGAATGTTGATAACACACTGATGTTTTTAGTTGTTGCTAAGTACTGCTTACACTAGTCAAGGACTTTTCAGCTGCCCATGCTCTGCCAGGTGCACAAGAAACTGGGAGGGGGCACAGCCAGAATAGTTGATCCAAACTGACCAAAGGACTATTCCATACCATATGACGTCACGCTCAGTATAGAAACTGGGGAGGGGTTGGCCAGGGAGCAGCGATCGCTGCTCAGGAACTCTCTGGGTATCGGTCGGCGGGTGGTGAGCAACTGCATTGTGCATCACTTGCTTCGTATATTATTACTACTATTTTTATTGTATTGTTGTTATTATAATTACTATTTTACTTGATTTCAGTTATTAAACTGTTCTTATCTCAGCCCAGGAGTGTTTCTCACTCTTACTCCTCCGATTCTCTCCCCCATCCCATTGGGGTAGGGGGAGTGAGTGAGCGGCTGCGTGGTGCTGAGTTGCTGGCTGGGGCTAAACCACGACAGCTGACAGTGAGAGGCTGTAAAGTGGTAGGTGGAAACAGCCCCTGGTCTCTGTGACAGAATAATATCATTGATATGCTAAGAGGGAAAAAAAGATGGAAGGAGCATTATTTTTCTGGAGGAAGCAAACTTGATTCTAAATTGTATTCCAGTACTAAGTTTCTGCATCAAATTTCTGAAGTCTCTGTCCTAAACTGTTCAGGTCCCTTTTCACTTCCGTATTGGTAGCCAGTTAAAAGGATTCAGAATCTGCCGATATATTCTCTTTGTCCTTGGACTTGTCTCGCAGTTATGTCAAGATAAAGACTTTAGTTTTCTAGAATATTTCAGATTCTTTTTCTTTAGAAATTAGACTGAGCATAGGAAAACTAGATCAACATAATCCTTCTTGATTTTGAGAAAAATCTAGAAAGCATTGTCAGTGATAGGAAAGTCTGTCAAAACTGATCTATCTAATATGAATATGCATATCATCCATTGAAAACCTAATTGAATCCATTTATCAGAATTAATGGCCAAGGCGTCATATTCCCAATTTCATCCTGTTTAGTGCATTTTTTTGGTGTTGACTGTAAGTTGATATTAACCTCAGTTTTATTTGTTTCTTTTTTACTAAACAAGTGGAATTACATCTTGAATTTGATTAAATGTTAATGCTGATTTTGGAAGGATTATAACCTTTGGTTACAGCAGGTTATGGGAATAGTGTTCAGTTTTATTCCCAACTCTACCATTTATCTATGTGAGTTCAGTCATTTGATTTAATTTGCATCAGGTTAACCATTTGTAAAGCGGGCATGTGTAATAAAGTGACTTAATGAAAGGCTGTTTTCTGAGTACATAACTGTGCTAAAGGAAAAAAGTCCAGAGAGATCCAAGCTGTTATAACAGAGAATAAAGTTTCCTTGTAAAACATTCAAAAGGATACTTGGCATTCTGAAGAGCTGAGGAAAAGCTCTCATAAAAAGGGTGGGAATGATTAATACTCCATCCTGCTGGAGCATTTTTGTTATATTGTATAGAAAGTACATCTGTGCCTGTTGAGATGGTTCCTAAGGACCTGTTTTATACACAGTTCAGTGTTCTTGTGTATTTGTTGCCTTTTAAAATGTGCTCTGACACCAGTTATTCTCTCACTCGCTCTGTTGAAGTTTCTGTAGCAAGGCCTGCATAATTTGGATCTATCATTGTGTAGTCTTACCTTCCTTACAATGCACTGATATTTTAGTCAATTGAAAAAGAAACTCGCTTGATTCTCTTTTCTCTTGTTTCCTTTTCAGTTTCCAATGTACTGATTTAACAGGTCAACTTCAGCTAGGGCATGAAAAATGGCTGTATGTTTAAAATCGAAGGACAGTACTATTGATGTGGCTTATATATCCCTCTGTGTTGACTGTAAGCAAGATGCTGGACAAGACAGTAGTTTCAAGGTTTAAACTCTTTAAGACAGCATCTAATGTGATAGAGCTTTAACTGTTTATGTTGACCCTTTCCATTTCCAGGTGCTGACAATGTTTAAGATTTCGTCAATTTAAAATGGAGGCATCTGAACTGTGTCAATCTTCCTCAGAAAAATGCTTTAGTTCACTTACAAATTTGTCAGTTTGAAATACCTAGTCAAGAAGAAAAGTCAGCAAGGTTTAGTTGCTGCTGTACTTAATATGCATATATACTTTGTTTGTTGATATTTCATGGACTGAATCTAATCCTTTCACCACTTAATTGATATCTCTATTGAAGTTGATACTACATTAGTGTAAAGTATAGCCTTCGGAGAAGCAATACACTAATAGAATTAAATTATTCAGGACTGAAAGATAAAGATCCAAACGTACAGGTCATGAACTGGAAATCTTTACTCATGTGAGTAGTCCCACTGAAAACACGATGATTGTTTACATCTGTGAAGATAATTTACACTGGTAAAGTTTAGCTGGATCAATCCCCTTATCTTTACTGACAGGACTTAGAATTATCTGACAAAAGAAATAATCCGCTTTTAACGTGTTATTCGTGTTTTCCTGTTCTCCAATATCAGCATCAATCTGAATCTCTCCTGTTTGCTAGAGGGTCCAGGGAAATGCTGATAATCTCATTTCTGCTTAGAAATTGTCACAGACAGAGGTGATGTTTGTGATAACAAGCATTTGGGCACTACTTCTGACCTTTAATATAGACTTTTGTCTCCCAGCAGAAATCACTAGATTTTTTTTGTGAAACCACCTATGTGGAAAATTACACCTTTTCTGTTCTGCAAAACAATTTCTATGATTTGCTTTGGAAAGGAGATGGACGAGTATCACAATAACGTCTTGAAGCAGACAGCTAAGTGGACTAGAGTTATTTATAAAAATGTTACTAAAATGCAAACTATATAGATGCCAGGGGAATTCTATTAACGGATATTAATGTTCCCAAGAAAGAAGCAGTATTGTCACTTTTAGGGAAAAAATTACTTTAGAAAATATGAAATATAAGTAGTTATCAGCATTATGTGAGCAGAAAGAAAGTGAAAATCATTGTTGCTCAAATCTTGAAATAAAACTAGGTGTCCTGAACTAGGCATATTGAATAGAATAGGTCAGTTATGCATATTGTTTTCATTTTACAAATAGTTTGTTTTCAAAAAGTTGGTATTGTCAGCAGGATTATCAATGCTTATAAAAATCAGGCGATTTTGATGTAGGTGCTTATGAGAAGGGACTGTTAATTCAACAGAAATATGATCAAAAGAAACCTACAGCAAACAAGGCAGAATGAGAAGAAATAGAAAAAGTTAGAATTGCACTCTTGAAAAATAAGCTGTTTTGATAACTGTGTGTATGCCAAGGTGCTCGAATGGACTGGTCAAACCTTGATCAGCCCTCAGAATTGTTCACAGGTTTTATTATTTCTGTACCATCTGGTCAGAACTCATTCTAACATCTGGAGACGTACCTGCTTACTAAGTTGTGGCTAGCCAACAACAACTGAGAGGAAATAATTTGGAAGAGTTCTTTATGTGCCAATGGGCTCTAAAGTAATTTAAAATATTTTTTATAAGTTGGTATGTTGTTACTAATATGAACTGCAACAGTTACACTTTGAAAATACGCTTCTAAATGTTTCTCGTGTGCAAGTATGTATTTGTATAACTGATTTCCTTCTATCCTTCCTTAAGTGTAAGCCGTATGTTAGAGTTCTATTCACAAGCATTTTTCTAACATTAAGTCAATATTGAACATTTAAAAATAAAGATATTATAGTATTTTTAATGCAAATATATTTTAGAAACTGACAATAAAATTGTGAAGCTGGGGTCTTGAACATCAAAATGCAGTTCAGAGTGCTTTGCTTGTGTCTAGAATGTACACATTCTTATGAAAAAACACCGTGATCCTGCAGAACACTTTTTGTCATGCTAAAATCAACTCCCTTCTATACATACTGCCAATTTGTGCCACATGAGTTAATGCTTTTTTGAGGCTAGCATAAAAGCAGTCTCTTCCCTCACAGATTATTTTCAACATATTGATGCTTCCCTAGCACATTGTTTCAGCTTTTGGAACCTACTGGTTGATTTATACATAATTTTTATTTTTTTAGGAACGGTAAACTTATTGAAGAAAATGAAAAATATATGCTGAGAGGAAGCAATACAGAACTAACGATAAGAGATATAAAAAATATTGATGCGGGTCCTTATATCTGTAATGCTAAAAACAAAGCAGGAAATGATAAAACACAGATATTCCTTCAAGTTTTTGGTAAGTACTGCATAATATGTTCCATCCTTCCTTTTTAAATGTAAACAGTAGGGAACTGAGGTTATAATTCACAGTTTTCAGTGGAACAGTATTCCTGCAAGGTGTCTACTGATGCAGCAAACTACTCTCTGTATAATTTTACAGCTTTTTCCTCCCTGTTGGCTGCTTTAACCTTTACACCTGACTTTAATTTTGAAAAGGCTGTCTTTGGCATTTGCTTTTCTACTATTCAGATGCAGTACAATGGAGTGTTAAATTGTAAATTCACTCTGGTTTTCCTTTAAAAGTTAGGTGCTTACAAGAAAACCAAGAGGAGAAAGGGGAAAATCCTGAAAGGGGAAGAAACAGGTTATTTGGACTTCTAAGCAGTGCGGGTTTTTGTAAGAAGACACCATGCAGAGGCGTTCCTGATATTTTTATTTGTTTTTCTTTCTTGATTTTTATTTTTTTAAGTGCATGATTGCAGATGTAGTCACAAAAATATTGTCTGATGTGAGTTTCAAAGGATAAAAGTAACAACATGAAAACTTATTTTTCTTTCTATGCTCTACCACCCAACCTGTATTCACGATTCTCTCCTTTACATAGAGCTGATAATTTCTTTGACATTTTGTATATCTATAACCTGGTGAGAGTAGGCATCTGTGAGAATGTAGAAAACCTCCCTCAGAATCATTGTGCAGGATCAAGGCTGTAGCTTGCTTATGAAAAACCTACAGAAAAGTAATGTGTTGGTTTTTTTTAAATTGACTATAGCTTGTAGTAGAGAGAAAGACCATTTATATTTGAACAGCTAAAGCACATACTTAGGACCATGGGAAATTAAATTTTAAGTCCCAGTTAAAACTAATAGTAATTTATACAAAGCAAAGCAGTTCTAACAGGTAAGCTGGTAACTTGCACTGGAAGAGCTAAACTGTTGGGTTGGATAATGCTGTCATCTGAGATCTGGGAGCCTGAGGCTGAAGCCATGCTATCACATCAACAGGTTATCTGTGTCCGTGTGCCTTCCATGTCTTTCCTATTTGGGAAACTCTTCATAGGCCTCCGTGCTGTGCTGTCTCCAGTGCTCCATGCTCCAGATGGGTTGCCTAACCATTGGGCTACTTTGTTGTTCTGAGGTGCTTAAAAATTATTCTCAATTACTTTTCAAAGAAAAGAAGGTGAAATACAAATTTAAATTTCATCCCAGCCTCAAGGTGTAGAGTATCTTGAAGATTTTTGTGGACAAACCAGAACATTTTATTCAAAAGTATTTCCAAAAATGGAGGAAAAAAAAAAAAAAAAAAAAAAGTGAAGGAATAGAAGAGACTTGCTAGTTTTGATATGAGTTTAGGGAAGTTTCAGGCAGAAATAATTTTTTGTGTTATTCAAGTAATTTTAAGTATGGATGAAATTTGCGTAGTTTTTGCCTGAGGCAAGGTAACCTTTTAATGAAAGGAATAGGGAAAGAGAGCCGCC